TTCTATATACTGAAAATAGAACATCATTATTACAAAACTCTTCTCCTAGATAAGAGATAATCTAAATATTATTTGACAATTCCTAATTGTTATTGCCTCAGGTAATTTACATAGTATAAACTATTCTGTAATGTCCTTGACTTTTTTACCTACAGACAAGTAGTTAAGGATGGGGAAAGTAAATAAGAGAACTAAGCGATTCCATGTACATAGTCCTAGAATTATTTATTGTTATGTGCATAAACAAGAAATCTCTTCCATTTCCTATTTTGCTTTTAGTTCGGAAGGTATATTGCTTTTTATGTCCCAAGATTTCATTTCCTGAGTGTGGTACCAAGGATATTCCTCTTGAAGGACTTGCTTGGCAAACTAATACATCTTCCAAGATAAACTGCATTCAGGAAAAAAAATGGCTTCAGAGAAATTGTATAGTGTATGTACTGTAAAACTCATAACCACCATGACATAGCTAAATTCTCAGATGTTATATAGCCTTGCTTCAATTATAATATGAATCAAGCAACGCAGGTTTCAAGTGTGAACTTCGGTTTCAAAATTTTATTAGTTAATATTGTACTAAAGTACTGCTGGTTAATAAAAAATATTAACAGTTCAGTTGATAAATTTCCCTAATTCAAAAATGAGAATAATATCTTCCCCAGGTACTTTACATGCTCTATCTCATTCCACATATACATTATTGATTTGTTTTTCAAGGACTTGACAAAATCCTCCTACATCACTGTATGCAAAGCAATATCTGAGATTAATTAACTCTAAATGTGGGTAAGCCATTACTGCACACATTCAAAAGAAACATTCTCTGTCCCATCTATCACATTTTGACTTTAAACAGGATTTTAAAATTGCAAAGTATACCAAATCAGATCAAATCTAACATATTACCAATAAAAGCTTATAAAACATTTTAGATGAAACAGACATAGTGTTTGATTATTCGGTCTCATGGTAATTTCCAAAAGACCTATTATACTGACAGAAAATGGTCAGGGAGCCAGTGTAAATATGAAAGCTATAATAGAAATATTTATACAATGAAGACTAATCTTGAACACCTAAGCCAAAATAGCTTTTTCTCTAGGAAATTAAAGAAATAGCATTCCCTCTTTTTCACTTTTTTTCCCTAAAATTATTTGATTAGATTCAGAGACTGCTGAAATATGTACCCTTTTGAATACATAGTTCATACCTAGTCATCTTTTGTATCTCTGAAAAATGAAGGGCAAATGTGGAAATAATCTATTCCAAAAATAATTTAGACACACTAAAAATCAGGATGTGTATACATGAGATTTTCTTCCAGATAAAATAATATAGGCAAAACTTCCAATCAATTAATGACACTCTAGGAAATTTGAAAATTCTTGGGCTTTTTATAATACAATATATACCATAGAAAATAGATTTTAGAATAATTCTATTTACTTAATTGCTACAATTTTTACTTGTTCCCAAGTTTGGGGGCCACATCATAACATCAAGCTATAAATAGATGAAAAAGAACCAAGAAAATAAAACAAGCTATTTTTCATATATCAAAATCATTAAACATTAGTACTGAGTATAGAGAACATCCAGTAATATACCTTGAGATATACTGTAGAATGTAACCTTAACTTCTTTACTTTCTATCTATTTCCATGACAAAAAATAATAGCTAAATAAGGACTTTTTACCTAACAGCCAATGTTGCAGTAGGAATAGTGGATGATATTCTTAGACAACTCAATGGTAGTAGGCAGCTTTCCAGATGCCAGAGCCAGTTATGCTGTGTTAATGTATGTAAGTATGGGTTTGCTGGGAATGAGTATGCTGTATGCTTGGCAGTTAAAAATAGCTAGAACTTTGACAGTTAAATCATTGGGACCTCAACTTAGTATCAGAGCAATTGAAACATTGGTTAGATGGGATCCCTGTGAAGAAGCTATGCTTATCAATTTCTACTCAGTGAACACTATTTGCAGATGACATCTGGACATTTGCTGGTCAATATTTTCTCTTTCTACATTTTCCCTTTCCTCACTCACCATTTAAAAAAAAAAATACTATAATTGTTATTTATCCCCATGTGTCTACTTTTGTATCATGTCCTACAATTGTAAGCATGTGGGTGAGGACAAACTGAGTCAACTTAGGTTCCCTGAATTTGTCCTGTTTCAGCTCAGGGACCATCATGGGGTCAGATACACATCAGTTCCCAAACTGAGTGAATAACCTCCGCATGGTCCACCATAAACACACTGAAATTACTGGGCCTGTGGCAGGATTTTAATGTTCTTAATTCAGAGGAGTTGGGCTTTACTTAGAGCGCTATGTTTATGATTTTTGTCACAGGTTAAATCTTTAATTTAGGCAGTTTTGTTCCTCCTACTCCTCCTTTTCCTCTCCTCTACTCCTCCTTTTCTAACCCTCCTCCTCCTCTACCTCCAGCTACTCCATTTCCACCTTTCACTTTGTTTACAGCATCTAATAAAGTCTGGTGTATGGTAACTGACTTTGATTTTATAGGAGTTTGTAAGTATACACCTGGGGCTCTAACTCAGGAATTTTGCTTGTGTGTGTGTGTGTGTGTGTGTGTGTGCATGCACTCTTTCTACAACTTATTTTCTTTGTAAGAGATGAGAATTCTACTCTGATCAAGAGTCTACCCAGTCAAATTCAGGTGGACTGGAAGAAGTTATGTTGTCCATCACAGAAATTTTGTTCCTTTGTATCACTCCATAAGTTAGATTTAGAAAAATCAGAAGTCCATTTGATGGCACAAAGAAGAGGGAAGCAGCCAACAACCTGTCAATCAAACTGACAGAAAGATTAAGAATAGTAGAGTATGGACCATCACATACTGGAGACTTTGAATCCACTAGCAGAATATCATTTCTAAGAGGACAGGGTCTTTCCTGATGAGGATGCAGAGGGTCTGTAGGCCTCACTTCCCCTCCAAAGATAAGACTGGAATGGCTTCCCCTCATAACTGACAGAACACTCAATTTTGACAAAGGAGCTACCCTGAGATTGAACAATTTCCTCTTTGCCAATACCCAATGGTTAACTGAAAACCAAGGGTAACCTGCAAGGTACTATTGATTACAACATCATGTTTTCCTTTGGGGACCTCTTGAATTGTAGAAATGCCTTCCTCAAAGGATGGCCGATTTGTCTGCTTGTGTTTCTGCTTTCCATCAGGCTACCTGGGTGGAAATGTATCCCATATTATATGCAATGTTAAAGCTGGATAACAAATGAATGGTTTTCGGGAAGGCTGCTTAAGATACCCATTGGCTCCACCAAGATGATATAGAAACCTGGAAATGGAAGGAGCTGTCCCAGTGGTAGATTCTGTAAGGTTCAGGCACTAGCCAAACCTAGGCACACAGAAGGAGCTGTTGCCCGAAGCAGAAGCAGATATTCCGGAGCTCATGACTTGTTTGTCACCACCAGTAATACAAGCCCGGGCAGAAAAATAATCTCCAGTTCCTTGTCAAAATTTTCCACCTGGCCATTTCTCCCCCCTTCCTACCTATAAATATCCCTCTTACCCTCCTTCAGTGCGACTTCTCTGACCTCAACTTTCTCTGGGGTCAGTGAACCTCACCTGGGAGCACAGAAATAAACCTGCTTTGAGTTTTACTGGACTCACTATCTCTTTGCTCCCTCTTTGCTGATCATTTCAGATTCTACAAAGGCTAGAAAACTGTAAGGAACACTTGTCAATAGGGATAAGGAAGGCGATACTTAAGCAAAAGATTTATGGTAAGACACTAGAGCTTAAACAAAAGGAAAATGAGGATCCACCTGAGATCCTTAAAGGGATAATTCAACTTATAGTACTTACACAGGCATAAATCCAGATAAAATTCTCAGATGACAAACATACACACACTGCTCCAAATATAAGGAGGAAATAAAGATAGAAGGTGACATAGACATAAGTTCTTTCCCATTGGTGGACACAGCTTTTAGAGTTTTTAATGCAAGAATAAGAAAGGCCTAAGCCTACAACTATTTCTGCAGAGAGAGAGGCAGGACAGATATTTTGGAGTGACAGAGAATGGATGTGGAGAAGAAACAGGAGAAATAAACGCTTAAGGAAGAATCTGTGCTTAATTACAAAGAGAGGCATTGGAAGGACAGGTGTCTCAGGTTTGAAACAAGAAAGAGGGAAAAGAAAGAGAAAGTGGGAGGGAAGGAGAGGAAGCAGAGTGACAGCACAGAATGAGGATTCAAATAGGGACACGGGCAAGAATAAAGACAAAGTGAAAGGAATGAGGAAACAAGGAGAGAGAACTATAGACAACTGTTAGCTTAAGGTTTAAAGGATTAACTGAAGAATAGGGAAGCCCAGCAGTTCCTCTCAATTTGAAAAATCCTATTATGATCACTTCCTTGGGAGAACTGAGTAACTCGCTGTGGGGGATAATTTGGTTAATTTATTTTTGATAGGCAGTGGAGAAAACTAATTTTGAATTCTAAACTGGCTTGGGCCAGCAAGAGAACCACCAGTCACTGGGTTATGAGCAGAACTATTGTCATATTGCTTTGCATTTTCTTTTGATACCATCATTCAATAGATGTTAGTATTCTCACTATGCATGGCAACAGGTAACTACAAAATTTCAACAAATAATTTTGTTACTACATGAATAAATAGAAAATCGAAAATATGGCTGCATTAGTTAGGTTTTAAATGGAATGTCACATTTTTGACCTTTTGGGATTTGATACTGAGTAGTGCCAAGAAGGAAAAATATGTCATCTTGAGTGTGTGCTTCCAGAGAACTCTTAAGAGAGCAGGGAAGCTTACTTCAATTGGCAGGATTGGACACTCTAGGGAAAAAAATGTTAAGAAGAGGATATCTATCCAAAGTGCAAATGTTGTAGATTAACAATAAAAAAGACCAACAATCAAAACATATTTTTTTTCACTCTTTCTGACAAGTACTACCCAATATTTGAGTTGAGTCCTTTTGTCAAATACATACCACAACTCCAAATTGTTCAGGCTCACAGAGGTCATCATATTCATTCTTCAGCTGTGCTAGTTCATTTAGTACTTTCTGTTCCGGAAGATGCTTTATTAGGTTCTAAAAGAAAATATTTAACAGAAATTTAGTGTTTTATTAAACATGATTAGCCGCTTTAAAATGATTAGCAAAGAGAGTGGGTAAATTTCTGATTGTGGTTCCTGTTTACTGCCAGCGTATCACCCCTTTCCCTCCAAAAAAGTTCAAATTAACAATTTGAACTTACAACAAATGTATAAAAAGTTTGGTTTCTTTGAAAATGGCAAAAATGACATTACAAAATTGACTAATCATTTAGGCCTTAAACATATTTTTTTCAGCCATAGGTCTCATTGTGATAGTCAATTCAAACAGAAAAATATCATTCAGAATTAACTCAAGTAGGATAATTATATTTTTTTAAAAATCAATGTTGTATTTCAAAATTAATATTTGAAAAAAAATTCAATCACACAAAGCACACCAAGCCTGTTTAAAAAAAACATTATTTCATTATTTATAATATCTATTTATTTAAATATATAATGCATTACTAGTTTAATGGAAAATCAGGCAAAAGTGAAAAAAATGTGATGAATGTTCAGGTTTCATGCTCAATAGAATAAAAATGAATTATTATCAACCTATTCTATCTTGGAATTTGGTATAGTTCTAATCATTATTTTATTAGCTCGCAACTGGGGTTTTGTATGGAATTTCAAAAGATACATGGTAGGAAGGAAATTAGCAAAAAATGATTTAAGAAACTAAGGTTGACACAAAATGACTGAAGGAAACTTCAGGGATGGATTCCTCCATTGAAACAACCACTGTATTGGAAACAATGATTTGAATTAACTCTAGAAGTAGATTATATATGACTGCTAGTAGGAAAAAAGAAAAGTTTTTGATAAAGTGTGACATTCCTGCTCTATGCCATGGAAACATGAATCCATCCCTCTTGCCACATCATTATTGTGAGTACAGTGCCTAAGAATCTAAAGCAATTGGCTAATGCCTAAAGGGAACTTACACTCCAAAATGTGGGGTTGTGTACTTTGTTTTGGCAGTTCCCTCAAAGACAAGTGTAGATACTTGCCTTGAAATCAACCCTTTCATGTTGAAACAGATCAATCTGATGAATTTATTAGAATTTTTAAGTAGACAAAAACATCTCCCCTGCTTCTGGAAAGGGGACATTTAAAGAAATCTGTCATATAACTGACTGATAGCAAAGATAATGAAATATAAACTTCAGAAGCCAATCATAAGGAATATATGTTTTGCAAATAACATTTGGGGGGAAAAAAACACACACATAAACTGGCTGTAGCATCCAGCAAATAGAAATCAGCAGTGAGCATGGAGTGGCAGGATAACATTTAATGGGTTATAATAAAATCCAGTTCTCAATGGAAAAATTTCAAAGCATACAAAGAAACAGAAAAGCATTATGTATGCATAAGGGGTAAAACAAGAATTTCACAGGCACTATCCCTAAAGGAGTTTAAAACAATAACTTATTTAGGTCAAAAATATTAGATGAGCTGTTTTAAATGTTCTCAATGAACTATAGGAATCTAAGGACAAAGAGCTGTATTAGGGAAATGATGCATAAAGAGAATGAGAGTATCAATAAAATAGAGAAATTATAAAAAGGAATCAAACAAATTCTGGAAGTGACAATTAACTGAAATGAAAAATGGACTTCAGGGATTAAAATGTAAATTGAATAACTAGAAAACATTACTGTGAATTGGAAGAAAAATTACAATAACCTGGTATAGACCCAAAATGAAAAAAAATTAATAAAAGCTCAGATCTGTTTTACACTATCAAGCATACTAATACATGTATCACAGTATTCCCAGGAAAGTAAGGGTCAGAAAAAATATTTGAAAAAATAGCTGAAAATACCCCAAAACCTGATGAAAATATCAAAAAAAAAAAACTAATCAGCTGAAAGAGAAAAAGAGAGAGAAAGAAACATAGAAAAAACAGAGAAAGGAAGGGAGGGAGGAAGAGAGAGATGGAGGTAAGGAGAGAAAGAAGGAGAAGGAGGGAAAGAAGGCAGGAAGGCAGAAAGAAAGAAAGAACAGAGGGAGAAAAGGAGAAAGGAAGAGGGGAGGGAGAGAGAGGGGGATAGAGAGAGAAATGAATTCACATTCAAAGAAATCTGGTTTCTACCACTGAATGAATACTGAATTAATGAGGATAGCAAAAAAGAAATTACAATATATCTCAAGACAAATGACAAGACAATCACAACCTAACAGAACCAAATACACAACAAAAACAGTATTCAGAGGGAAATGTAAAGCATTAAGGGCATGCCTCAAGAAAAAAGAAAGAGTTCAAATAACTAATCTTATCTCTTACCTTAAAGAACTAGAAAAAGAATAACAAAATGAAAAGCTAGTAGAAGGAAGGAAATAATGAGGATTAGATCAGAAATAAATGAAATAGAAACCTAAAAGTAGTTCAAAAGACTTTAAACTAGTTTTCTGAAGAAAAAAAAAATATGTACAGGATACACAACTCTAGCCATGGAACACAAAGAATAAGAGAGAAAAAGACAGAAATAAAATCAGAAACAACATAGGATAAGTTACAATAGATGGATTCAAGGAATGATAAAAGATTATATTAAGTTATGTTTGCTAGTATTATTAACTGTCCAATACAGAATCCGAGAAAGAGAAAACCTGGACAGATTAATTAAAACAAGGGAACTGAAATAATAATCAAAAGCCCTCCAAATCACAAAGCCCAGGGCTACACAGTTAAACCAGTGATTTTACCGAACCATCAAAGATAATCTAATACCTATTCTCAAACTCTTTAAAAAAAATGGAGAAAAGTGAAAGTTTGAAACACATATTATGTGGCCAAAATTACACTTATAACAAAACCAAAGATGCCACACGCACAAAAAAACACAAATCCATTTCCCTGATGAATACAGATGCAAAAATCCTCAACAAAATCTTAGCAAGCCAGAGCCCTCCCTGGTGGCGCATCAGGTTAAAGCACAGCAGTAAGAAGCTAAAGCTGCCAGCATGAGTTCAATCCCACCAGCCCTGGAGGTGACCACATGGCATGGCAGACCTCTCCTGACACGCCTGCTGCTCCCCTCAGCAGTGTACTTTGTCAATCTCCTGTTCTGCTCCCCACTCTGTCTCTGGTGAAACCTCTCACTGCACCTGCACCTGTGACTTGTGCCCCAGTTCTGTATGAATAAATACATTTTAAAAAAAAATCTTAGCAAGCCAAATTCAACAATGCATTATAAGGATCATACACCTTGATCAAATGTGAGTTTATACACAGTCACCAGAATATTTCAAAATCTGAAAATGAGTGTACTAAGTAACATCAACAAAAGGAATGATGAAAATCATGATACTTCAATAGAACCTGAGAAATCATTTTATAAGATTCAGCATCCATTTATGATAAAAGCTTTCAAAAATGAGGATAAACTGAACATTAGCACAACATATTAAAGACAACATATAACAAACCCACAACTAACATCATCATCAATGGTGAAAAGACTGAAAGCTTCTTCTCTTCTAAGATCTGGCCCAAGACAGTTATACCTACTCCTACCACTAACATTAAACACAGTTTTGAAATTCTTGTTTACAGCAACTAGGATAGAGAAAGTTATAAAAGCAATCCAAACTGGAAAAGAAGGGGTGAAAACTATCACTATTTGAAAATTACATAATACACATAAAATCCTAGAGACTCAACTAAAAAACTAATTGAAATGGTAAACCAGTACAACAAAATAAGTCACAAAAATAATTTACACAAATCATTGTGTTCCTACATGTAAACAACAATCTATAGGAGGAAACCAATACAACAATCCCACATATAATCTCAACAAAAATAATGAACTTAGGTGGAACCATAACAAAAGAGGTAAAGGACTGATACAATTAAGTATATAAGAATTTGTAAAAAAGAACTAGAAGAAGACACAAAGAAATAGAACAATATTCCCTGCTATTGGGCGAGAAGAATAATCAAAGCAATATAAAAAAATTCAATACAATTTCCATCAAGCTATCAATGGCTTTTTCAAAGAAATAAAACAAGTATTACTGAAATACATATGGAACCACACAATATCCTGAATATCAAAAGGAATCATGACAAAAATGAATGGTGGCTATCAAACTCCCAGACTTCCAAGTATACCACAAAGTAACAGTGACTGAAACAGTATACTACCAGGGTAAAAACAGATGCACAGACCAATGGAATAGAACTGAGAGCCCAGAAAAAACCCACCTACTTTTCACCAAAAGTGGCTAGAAAACACATTTGAGAAAGGAAAGCTTCTTCAATAAATGGAGTTGGGAAACTGGACCACCACAAGCAAAAGACTAAAACTACCTCACATCTTATACCAAAATACCAAAAAAATGATGAAATACTTGGATGGTAAGAAAACACAGAAATAAATAGAAGAAAGCACAGGCAGAAAAACTTGCAGCACAGGATTCTGGGATACCTTTATGGATTATACTCCAACTCTAAAAGAAACAAAAGATTATAAAAGTTGTATTTAATTGAAACAGATTATAAAATCTTCTCCACAGTGAAAAACACTAATACTAAAACAAAAACTATCACTACTTTACTGAATGGGGGAAAATATATGTCCACCATATATCTGACAAGGGGATAGCAAGATTTACAAAGTACTCATAGAACAACTCAACATAAAGAAAACAAATAACCCACAATCAAAAAATTGGCAAAAGAGGGGCCCTCCCTGGTGGCGCAGCGGGTTAAAGCACAGCACTGAGAATCTAAAAAAGCCGCTTCCGCATGAGTTCAATTCCCGCCTGCCCCGGAGGTGACCACATGGTGTGGCAGACCTCTCCTGACCGGCCCGCTGCTCCCCTCAGCAGTGTACTTCGTTGATCTGCCTGTTCTGTTCCCCACTCTGTCTCTGGTGAAGCCTCTCACCGCCCCTGAGCCTCTGGCCTGTACCCCAGTTCTGTATGCACAAATAAATAAATCTTTAAAAAAAAAATTGGCAAAAGAGCTAAACATTCTGT